GGTGGTCACTGAGCCCAGGCTATGCACACAAATTGTGGTCCTAAGGAAGTCAGACCCTGATCTGCCAACAGTGTGCACAAGCTAACAAAGCATTAAAGAAAGTCCAAGCGTGTCTGGGCCTCAGGTACAGTTGGACCTGGCTGCTGCCGACTGCTAAGGCTACGTGTCAGTGTGACTCACGCATCGTACGTCAGTAGCGCCAGAAGCAAGTTTCATTTAAAGACCTATTCCCCTGGCTTCTCAGCTTCTGCAGGCCAAGAGCAGGAATCATTAATGATGGGATTCTTGATTTATAGGGCCTTGCTGAAAAATAGACAATGTTTGTGTTTCTACCCCTTCAGTCCCCTCCCACTTTTATGAGTGCTGTTAAGTTTAATTTCAGCATGTTAAGCAATTTGTGACTCACTGGAATGAAACTTAACTCAGGCCTCACAAAATGGAATAAAATGATATTTCCATGTTTCATGTTATGGTTTGAATCAGCCTGCTATTTGCAGCTTGGTGGAACCTACTCGGAGTGCCATGTAGGAAGGAGCCTCTATCCTACTGACTAGTTACTGTGTCTCTGGAAAGTTCCCGGTGTCCCTCTGCTACCCCAAAATAGCAAATTTATAGCTGAAGAAAAGAGAAGGAAAAGCTTCCCCTAAGTACGCCATGGTGATATTTCTACATGCAGTGGGGATGATTTCTATTTTTTATCCATTGTGGTTTAATTATAACAGTGAATATAGATTCTTTGTCAACTATACCTGAGATTTTTAAAAATGATGATTGCTATCTTTTTAACCAGTTTTCCTTGACTTACTCATTCACAAGAACCACAGGAATCGAGAACATTCTAGTTAACAGTTATTGAACGTGGCATAATGTATTTGTAGTATTGGATTTACAAATCTATGTATGGATGCTCAGCTGGGGTTTCAAGAGATTTAGGGATCAGCTGATGCAGTGCGGCGGGAGGTGAGAACGCATGGCCGCTGTGTGTGTAGGTGAGCTGGCCCAGCTGAGTAACTTGAAATCCTTACTCATGTGTCCACGCACAGTGACATGCCTGTAATTCCTCCTTCCGATTAAGCTACACTTATTAAATAAACGCACTGTCTAAAGATTTCCCCGCTGAAAAAAAGAATCAGCTGAGGTTAATCCTCAGGGTTTCTCTGAAGAAAGAAAAATGTTCGAATAACAGCAGGTGATCTCTAAATTCCTGCAGAAAGCACGTTGTTTCTTAGGGTCTCCACCTAAGTGCCTGCAGGTGGTGCTGCTGCCACCTAGTGGCAGGGTGGCTTTTCTGCCATGATGAATGGGCTGCCCGGAGGCAGAGGTCACCAGGGCGCATGCCTCGAGAGGAGAAGGCCAATGTGTGTCCTCCTCATTGGCCAGGTGAGGCCCCTGAGGGGTGTTAGAACACCACAGAGCACAGCAAAAGGAGTCACTGCCTGCACCTCTGGGTCCCTGACTCTGCTTGGTTAGTGCCAGGCTCGCTGCAGGTGACAACAGACGCAATGACAACAGCGTGAGGACCATGGAGACAGATTGGGCGTGGTCTGTGGAGATGGGGTGGTGGCTGGGATGGGAAGACACTGCCTCCGCGCCGTTGCATCACATCAACAATGGACTGAACAAAGTTTGTGTTCTCCCCAAAAGTGTGTGTCGAACTCCAAAACCCAAGCGTGTCCGGAAGCCCGGCTTTTGGAGGTGATTAGTGCTTTTTTAAGATGCCAAAGAGCTCTCTTTCTGCTGTTTGAGGACACAATAAATCAACGGTCTGCAACCCGGTTGAGGACCCTCACCAGAGCCAGGTGGCTCCTGGACCTTGGCTTCGGCCCCCATGACGCCGAGAAGTAGGTGTAGGAGCGATCCAGCCTATAGTGCTACGTTATAGCAGCCAGACCGATGAAGACAACACCTATTTGCAGCGCGGGATCAGGTTCCCTGGTGCCAGATGTCTGCAGACTTAACACCATCCAAATGAACGGCAGCTTGACCTCGTTCCATCAGCTAAAGAACCGACAGTTGTTCAGTCACAGTGCGGGAAAGACTTCCCAGTTAAAATGCTGGGATCAAAACCAAGGTCATGGAAATGCCCACTGGCACACAGCAGTAGGGGCTGAAATCATGTCTGGTAGAAACACCTTCCCCCACTCGCTCGGGAATTCAACGTTCTTAGAAATACCTCCCTGCTGGCAAGAGACCACAGAAGGTGCTGGCAAAGGGCGAGCGGTGGCCCGGCTGGTGTTGCCCTGAAGGCCACCAGAGCTCTGACTTGGGAAGCTGTTAGTAAAAGAACGTAGGTGGCCGGGCTGCAGCACACGTGGGCCTGCAGGATGGGCCAAGCAAGTGTGCAACTTGGGAAGGAAACAAAGCCCGCACTGAGCTTCCCAGCAGGCTTGCTGAGGACTGTCAGCAAGGCCTTGTTCCAGGACTAGTGATAAGAGCCCTGCCCAGCCTGCCCCAGGGCCGGGGCCTGCATGTTCTGTGCTTGGAGCAAGCAGCCCTGAGGGCCCAGCGTGAGCACCTTGGCCTCCCTCCCTGGGAGCCCGCCTGGCCAGCACTCTCAGGCACCACACATTCATCACCCACACTTAGCCATATCTGATGACAAAGCCAGGCAGGGCCCAAGGAGCCTGGGTTTCGTCAAGCTTTACCCTAAAAACTCCCAGCCTGGGCCTAACTTGGACTTGGCAGGGAAGCTATGGCAGAGACCATCCTAGACTGCACTCTTGCAGCTACACTGGCTGCCTCTCTTCTGTCATTCATGCTCCAGTGTCGCGAGGCCTACCCTGTGGTAGGCGCTGGAGCAGCAAAGAGAATAAAGCAGGCCCGCTGCTTGCAGTGGACCTGGGGCTCAGCAGCCAGGCTCTGCACCTTCATCATCGAGGGAGGATTTTTTTATTATTTTATATTTTATACGGTAGTACTGGGTCTACAAGGTCTCATTATGTACATTAGACTTATAGTAATCTGCCTGTTTTTAGCTTCCCAAGAGCCGGGATTACAGGCGTGTGCCACCACGGCCAGTCTCAATGTCCGTCTCAGCAGGGAAGGGACCGGCATGGCACGCTAGAGATTGAACCCCGTATTTTTATTTTTTTAATTTTAAAAAATTTATGTATTTGGTACAGGGTCTCTCTACACAGCTTGGACTTGTAGTGCTCTTCCTGTCCTAGCCTCGCCAGTGCTGGGATTACAGGCATGTGCCACCATGCCTGGTTTCAGTGGCCAGCACTGTGGCACAGCATGTGGTACCTGAGGGATCAAACCTAGATCCTTGTGCTTGCCAGGCAGGTGCTTAGGCCACTGCACTATTCCTATAGCCCCTCCAGGGAGGACTGAATTCTCTTCCCCATGACCCAGAGATCCTCATTTTTTTTTTCAGCTATTTTTAAGTTTTCCCAGAAATGAAGGGTTGAGGATGAGTATCAGCTCTGGAAGACATGGAGACTGAAGCCACAAGAGCTGATTGGCGGGCCAGGGAGATGGCTTAGTAGAGTAAGCAGTTGCCAGGCAAGCGCAGGGTCCCGAGTTCCCCGGTACTGTAAAAAAAAAAAAAAAAAAAAAAGACCTGCTTGGCTCTAGAAAACATGTTGTTCTTTTCCTAGTAAGATTGGAAGGCCCTTCAGAGGTGCTCGCGTGGAGGATTCCTTGATTAAATTAACACAAGGGATAGTCACAGAGGTCAAGCCAGGATGTGTAAAAACTGAAAGAAACAGCCGATTTCCTTCCTATGTCAAATGGCTGGAACTCCTGGGCTGCCATCGCCAACAGTCCCTGGCTGCCCCACATGCTGTGACATGGCAAGGACTGTGGCTGCGGCAAGAGAGCAGGTGTCCCTCACCAGGGAAGACAGGCTCCTGGGTGCTGTGGTCGGAAGAGTGTGTCCTCCAAACTCCCATGCTGAGGTTCTCACTCCTGGGGTGCCAGTGGTCAGGGCCCAAATGCTGAACCCTTGAGGAGAAGAGCAGAGCCTTATACAAGTGGCTGCTGAGAGCTTCCTGTCCCCCTCTGGGATATGAGAGCAGGACAAGAAGGCGCCACCTCTGGGAAAGGAGCCCTCATCAGATGCGGAGTCTCAGGGTGCCTTCACCTCACACTTTGCAGCCTCCCAAACTATGTTTCATCGTACATACTGCCCAACCCGCCACGGAGCCCTGTCGCAGCAGCCTCGAGGGACCCAGCCACTGGGGTCTCTTGCATGCTTACACTGCAGTCATTAGGAGATGGCACCTGCTGTGGCGCAGGACATCACTTTAGTGCTGCCCCTCAGACGCAGAAAACTCGAGGTCTCCTGACCCATTTCAGGTGCTCCCACAATCACAGGATACTTATTCTCACAGACACACAGGCTGCACAGCTGACCTCTGCCTCGCGGGGGCCACGGCCCTGGGCTGGGGGGCACAGGCCGCCGGTGGCAGCTGGCTCCGGTGGATTTCACCCAAGGGGAGGATGCATTTTCTTCTCTCTTCCCTCTCTGCTTCGTTTGGACCTTCTTACATGGCATTCACCAGTGCTCCAATAAGTCACAGATACCCAACATCAAGGTGGGTTTAGGGATTTTATTATTCCATCAGGTAGAATGTTCCAGAAAAGCCAGGCACATCTGCCACCCTGTGTAGCACCCACAAAGGTATTTTCCTAGGCCTAGTAATTTTTTTGCAAGTAAAGAGAACACAACTTGCCCATGCATTCTCTAGTCTTTATTTTGGCACCTGCCTGCTTCTTTTATTTTGATTGCTAAAGCAACTTAAAAAGATTTGAGATGATCCTGCTGCTGCTCTTCTACCACCCAGTTCGCGGGGGCCTGCTGTGGGTGCTGTGCTCTGTCACTGCCGAGAGCACTGCTGCACGCCAGGCCCTGCTGGCTGAAGGAGGCAGCGCCAGTAGGTGTCCTTTTGGGAAAATCCATACCCTCACCTCCTGAGCCCTCACCTCCATGCCGAACCCCTTTGGGGAGAGGAAGTTTCCTTGCAAAGCTCACCAAGGACATAAGGAAAAGCGCTCACCTGGCACCTGCCATGCACACAGAGGTCTGTCTCGTAGGGTCCGCAGGGCGTGCCGTCTAGAACCCTGTCGGCCACCAGCAGCGGTGCCTCCTTCCCGAGGGGTGAGCAGTAGAGTTCACAAGGCTTATCTGAGGAGGGAAAGGTTGGCAGGTGTTGAGATGGGAAGGGGGCTGTGAGGCTCGCAGGATGCAGGCATGTACAGGTGATGGGCAGCCCGAAGAAGACAGACTGGCGTGGGCAAAGGTCTCAGCAGCTCAGCACAAGTCCTCAGGTAGGCACGTACATAAGCATGCATGCACGCAGACTCCTCTGGACTCTTAAACCAGCACCTCGAAAAAGACTAAGAATCAGGCTCGCAAAAGCGTGGGGAGGAGCTCTGGGTTTCCTTCACTGCGCTTAGGCTGTGCAAAGATGCAGCACTGCTTTTCTTGTAGGCATTAAATGCACTGGGCTGGAGAAAGGCACAGCTGCGAGCTGTCCCTATCCAGGCAGGCTGTGTGTGCATCAAGGCTGAGCCCAGGAGCTGCCCCGAGGCGGAAGAAAGGTTGAAGGACCCTCCGTGAGGAGCACGGTCCAGGGCATCTCCATGACAGCGGCTTCTACTACAAGCCTTCACATTCTCCCTAGCTGCTGGGCAATAGCTTCAGAGCCAGACACAAGGCACAGAGGTTCTGGAAGACAGCAAGCAGGACTGAGGGACTGAAGGTGACCTGGGGACCCCTAGGACAACTCCTACAGCCATGTCCCCAGAAAGATGGCAGTCCCAGGTCCTGCTGCCCCTGGAACCATGAGTTTCCAGAACACACCAAGTTCATGTGCCTTTGCGTAGGCCGGTGACAGTGAACCTTACAGAGGCCGAGTGCCCGACCTTTAACCTCAAACGCACTTGTGTTGCCAGGTGCCAACACTGTAGCTAAACCAGAATACCGAAGCTTTTAGTTTAGAAACGACCGTTATCTGGGGCTCAGCTGCTGGGGCAACTTGGCTCTTGTGCCAACAGAGGGGGTTCCCTGTACTCCCTGTGGCACGATGCTATACGTTTGCCACCACTGGCCTAGGCTGTTCCCTCTGCTTGCAAATCCTTCCTTGTACCTGGCTTTATAGAAAGCTGCCACTACCCAGGGAGCTACTGTCATACCCAGATTTCTCTCTTCTCCTACCATCCCTGCAGTGGGATAGGATAGGTGTCACTATGTACACTCTGCCTAAATCTCCATCCAGGCTTTTGGCTCATAAATTTGCAAATAACAACAGCTTGTTTTACCATCCATTTACATGCAGTAAATCTTACATTCAAAGGAATCTATGTAAGGCAGCTATAGAATGCAACAAGGAGGAATTCTAATTACAGGTGAAGCATCCCTAATCCCCTAATCCAAAATTCAAAATACTCTAACTTCTAAAACTTCTTGAGTCCTATGATAACATGAAAAGTACAAAATTTAATACCTGACCTCCTGTGATTGGTTAAAGCACAGGTACACTAAAAATATTGTATAAATCACCTGAGGGCTATAGGGTGTGTAGGAAACCTCAGAATTTAGACTTGGGTCCTATCCCCAAGATATCTCATTGCCTATGTGCTAGCAGTCCCAAATTTTAAAACATCAAATTTGACATCCTTGATGTCAGAGTCCTAAGCACTCTGAAGAACCTAAGTTCAGTAAAGGTTCTTGAATAAATGAATAGAAGACTCCTATCCCCAGTCCAAATCCTAATTCTCACGCCATTGATGGATTACATCGCAAAGGAAACCTGCAACGAGTGGGAGAACTTTGTGCAGCCAGCTGGGTCCTCATCTCCACCATCAGCCTTCCCCAGTGGGTGCTTCTAGTGGTTCTAGGTAAGCAAAGGGCAGGGCAGAGAACGGCTTATATAGCAGATGCGGTCTTGGCATCCCAGCTGGAAGCTTTATCAGAGGAAATACGCTCAACTCAGTTCTTCCAGCCTGTTGCAGGGCAAACTTTACTTGGAAGAGTAGCCTCCGTAGATGTAGTTCCTTAGGTAGGCAAGTAAGAGAGCCCTGACCCTGACCCAAGGCGGTAGGCATGCCTTGAGCCCCTCCTTCAGAGCAGCCTGCGGACAGACGCTGCTGGAGGAAGAATGATGAGTGAAGTGTGCTCGCTGAGGCCCCAGGGGTCTCACAGACAAGCGCAGACCAAATCCCAGATGTGCACACGTGACAAGTTCCACGAGGTGGGGGGTGAGCTCACGGAGCACGGGGTGTAACCCGGATGTAATGACTCATTTCCTTTGCGGCACGGGGGGGGGGGGCGAGGGTCCCTCCATTGAGAAGGGCCCAAGGAAGCAGCCCGAAGAAAGACAGCTGTGGAAGATGGAGCCAGCAACTGAGGTCAGCTTCCAGGGAGCTCAGGTGACAAGAATACTGATGTGCTCTTTGGGTCCTTAGAGGTTTCCCATGTGTACCTTCGGAGCTGGTGGGACAGAAGCAGCAACACGGCCGGCCCTTTAGTCTGTGTGGACTGGGAGGCCTACTCTACACACTGTGCTGCTGCTGCTGCTGCTGCTGTTTCACTGTAAGGAAGGGTACCTTGACCAAAGTGGCTTCAAACCGTATTCTAATTACCCTTAGAATGACATCCTGGGAGGAACTGGGCTTTGAGCTAATTAATTCAGCAGCAATCACAGTGATGATAAAAACATAATGACATTTATAAGCCATTACATGCCGGACAGCAAGCTAAGCAGCGTCTGCACATTTCAGGTGCATGCTGTCACTGCTCCATCACACACAGGGACCCGTGGCGTGTGCACAGTGGCCTTCGAGGGGAGGGCTACACTCTGACCTCTTCACCCCAGCCTGCTTCGCTTGACCATTTTTGTTTATATTCTTTGAATGGGGAACTCTTGAGCCACCCAAATACCAAGGGGCAAAATAGCATCGCTGAAAACAAACACCAGGTGTGTGGGTGCTCTGACTTCTGGGTGTATACTTTCATTAGCAGAACGAAATGGGATAGAAGTAGAAAAATAGACACTGCTTCGGGGAAAGCTAGAAAGGCCAGCCTGGGAAGGTGTGAAGGTGGTCTGGGCTCTCCCTGTGAGCACCAGGGAGGTGGAGGCTCCGCAAGGCAGGTGGAGCAGGCGCCACTGCATGACGCGCACCATAACCCAACTGCACCCAGTTGTCCCACATGAGGACACTGCCCTCTGCAGCTCAGGAATCCTGGGATAACCAGGCTCCAGAACAAAGAGCAGAGGTGGGCTTTCTGTCCTCAGCCTGGCTGGATTTTCCACTGTTTGCCCATCTCCCTTTCTGAGGACTGTGCTCCGAATTCAGGGTGTGGCCCACGTTTACGGAGGAACAGTGTTAGCCCCCAAAGGATCAGAGCAGAACTTTTTTTACATGCCAGAAGGAAGCGCAGGGTCCTCACAGCTCTTCGCATAGTCCTTCCGGTCTGCCATAGTTAGGATCTTCATATCATGGAGAAGAAACCCCAGTAACTAACCATGAACGATACGCTGCAGCGTGAGCAGACTCTCACATTCCTGCTGGTTGCAAAGGTGGGCAAATCATAAACCGTTACACAGCGATACACTAAGGACAGAGGCTGGGACTTCCCTCCTGCATGGCTGGTGTGACCTGAGATGACGCTTCGACTCAGCCTGCCATCAGGACTTCTGACGGGAGGAAGCCGACACAGGGCAGAGAAGATGGGTCCAGAGGCCTGAGAGTCATGCGGCTGCCTCTGGGTGGTAGAGGTGTAGAGGATTCTTACTGGCGCACTGCGCTAATGAGAAATTTGTAGAGCACAGCACTCCTGCAGCTCTCTCTGCCAGCAATTATGAAGTCTTGCCAGGGTGCCATGTAATTTTTTTAAAATATATTTAGTACAGAGTCTACAGGGTCTTACTACACAGGTCTGACTCATAGAGATTCTCCTGTTTTCAGCCTTCTAAGGGCTGGGATTACAGGCGTGTGCCTCCATGCCCAGTCTCAGTTGCTGTCTCAGCATGCCCTGGGGGCAGGACTGGCATGGCATGCTGGGGATCAAACTTGGCCGCTGTAATTTTGAGACCATCACAAGTGAGTATCCAAGCTCTGCCTGGCCTTAGGTAGAAGACACAGTTGAGGAGGCTACTCAGCCTCCTGTCCCCAGAACTACCCACCAGGACTTCATTACTAGCTCTCTGTAGCCAGCTCTCAGTTGACTAGACCAGCAGTGACCACCAGCTAGTAGCTGGACCAATGAGATTCTCTCTTCTCACTATGACCTCACAGTCAAGCCTCAGTTGATTGGACCAGCATTGATCACCTGACAGCATTTGGACCAAGGAATCTCTCTACTGAGATCTCAGTACTGGAGTTCATACACAGAGTAGTCATTTCTCTTCCTGCTGATGGATACCAGAGAAAACTTACACTGCCTTATGTGTAATCAAGAGATTCCAAGTGTTTTCTTATATCTGTGGCATATACAGTGGACAGCAAAACCAAGCTTTACTGACATGCATTGGTCCTTGAGCAACAGTGCTGTATTTAGGGTCCCTGGTAGAGATGTCCAGCTATCTCTAGAGTACCTTCCTGGATTCCACCAGGGCTATTACCATTTGGTTGATTTCATTGTTTTTGCTTTTCTAATGCTAAAGTCCTTTGAATTCTGCACTACATCTGGCCCCCCAAAATTTGGATAAAGGATGTAGATTTATATAAGATATGCTACGGGTTGCCCTATTAGCCTACATGCAGGCACATTGTCAGAAAGGCAGACTGCAGTTAGGGCAAGAGGATGTGGCTCCATCTGTAAGCTGTCGCTAGAGAAAGGGTATGACATCTTCAGAGGTCTTGGCCCTGGCCCTTCAACCTGGCCCTTGGGTCCTTGAAGATACTCTCTGCTCATTAAGCAACCAAGGACAGCTTGGCTAAGCTGTGGTTAGAAAGCCTTTGCCATCACAGCCCTCATCCCTTCAGAGGCTCAGACCTGGAGAGGACTTTGCCATGCCAGGGAGAAAGGGCTGGGAAAACACCGCCCCATCCAGACACAGCCTAGAGAGTCCATGGAGAAGGCAGGAATAGGGTGGGGTTGGCAAGCAGCCAGCTCAGTTGGTTTCTGTCTGAAGGCTTTTCCACCCAGAAATCTTTTCTAATGAGAGTTTTTGTCTTCTTTTAGAGGTGGGTATGGCTTTGTGGTCCTGTGTTTTCCCTTGGAAAACCTACCTCTGCAAGAATTCTGAGAGGTGGGGGAGGGGAAGGGGACAGGAGAGAGGGAGAGAAGAGGGAGAGGAGGAGAGAGAGAGGGAGGGAGGGAGATGGAGAGCGGGGCGGGAGAGAGAGGGAGGGGGGAGAGAGAAAGAGAAGAAAAATTATTGCTTTGCCTTTCTTGAACCATGCGTCACTCAGCAAAGAATTCTGCAGCGATAGCAGAGCTATGAATAGGGCAGTCATAATGGGCTGCACAAGGGCCCAGGGCCCGACCACAGGAATCGTTCCTATCAGGACTGAGCTAGAATTGTGCCTTTCAGAAAGTGGGTTTCGAGAGGAACACGTAGAAGCTGCCTTCTGAATTGGCCATTATTTTGCTTCTACCCTTGTGAAATGTTCCTTTTAAAAAATGCTGGCTTCTGTTTATAATTGGGAGAGAAATGAAACCAAATATGCAAAAAATCATGACAATTCCACTCCAGAGGAGGACGTGTGTAGCTGCCCTGACTGAGCCCTGGACCCAGGGTCTCTCCTTCAAAGGCAAACACTTACGGCCTGTTGGCTGTCCTTATCAAGCAGGGATGTACTTTTTAGATCAAAGGCGGCGACATACTAGCACAATTATTTATTACTTGGGCAGAAACAAACAAAAAGCAAGTGGGTGTAAAGTTGCATTCTAAACCCAGTGAGGTCCCAAGGGGACCTGTGAGGCTTCCAGAATGGGAGTCTGGTTGGACAGAAGTCTCAGCCACCGCGACAATAAGGGAACCAAAGAGCTCATGCACCCAAAAGTGGTTAGAAGGAAAATAGAGGCTTAAGCTGGGCTTGGAGGAATCTGTGGAAAAACACACTGAAGCGGGATTTCTGCATTGAACAAAGGCGGCAGGAGAACTGAAGCGAGGAACCGAGGAAAGAATAACAACTTTGTGCGGAGCGGGTGGAAATGAAAAGGGGCGAGTCTACCTCAGACCTGATTTCAGGAAAGGAGGGGTGGACAAGAGGCCTAGAAGGTGCTTTCTCTGACCTCGTAGGGAAAGCAGAAGGCTTGGAAGCCTTCTCTGTTGCCGTCTCACTCCCAGGGAGCAGTCTAGATGTACTGACACGGGTGGGAGTCCCCTGCCTTGTTCTGCCCTAGAATGATGCTCAGGCACACAGGCTGGGGACCGTGCAGACCCTGCGCCTCCAGCTGCTCACGTTCCTTTTGGGAGCAGGGACCTCCCCCTCCTTGTCTGCAGGGGAAGTCAAGGCCACAAAGACTGAGCTCTCAAATTCTGTTTTGTGACACCCAAAGGTGGAATTCTTCTTCAAAAAGGATAATGTCCAGGGGAGCTCTCCAATACTTGAAAATCAGTCCCCTCATGAGGTACTTGGCACTACCTGTTATGATTTAGATTCGAGAACATCATGTGTTACTTTACAAGTCAGCTTCCAGCTAACGAGTTAGGGTTTTCAGGCTAAAATCTAACTGCAGATCTAGGGCTGGGGAGATGGCTCAGTGGAATAAGCGCAAGGGCCTGAGTTCAATCCCCTGTTCCACACACACACACACACACACACACACACACACACACACACAAAAAGAGCTGCAGATCTAAAGCTGCTACAGCTAGCAGCGTCTGGGCCTATGCACATTTGAACTTGTCATCACAGATAGCAGAATGGAAATTTCAAAGGTTCTTCGCATCACAGGGAAGAAATCTAAGATCTGGCACTAGGAAGTGATTCTTCCACTAAAATCTTCAGAGGATGTCTGGAAACCTGGCCCTCTTACTTTCATTCTTCTTAAAGCTCCCTCACTCAGAACCCAAGAAGTCATGCTTTTGTCTTAAGTATTGGGAGCCAGGTGACATCTGGTTATGTTCAGAGTTAACGTTACTCCTCCGGAATCGGGGCTGGCTCCCTTCCTTGCTTGTGATCTTAGATGTATCGCATAACCAGTCTCCCCTTTTCTTCTGCACCCCTCGCGCTGCATACCCAGCGGGGTGGTGTATGTAATGCTAACTCAGGTCTGGCTCACAGTGTGCTCAGTGGTGGGACTGTAATGTCAGCGCACAACGTGAAGGCACATCTCCTAAAGAGGAACAGAGTTTTCAGCAGAAAAAGAAAACCTAAAACTTGGCCCTGGCGTCCTCACCTACAATGAAAAAAAAAAAAATCATGAATTCTACAGAGCAACGATCCACTCCCTGTAGTTTCTGCAGTCACTGGCAAGGCTGCGGCAACCCAGGGGCACACAGTCTCTTGATTTGGGAGAAAGTTCTTGCAAAGCAAATACAATGGGAACTGACTGTCATCTTTCCCAGACAGTACACTATTGTCCACTTGTCCCCAAAGAGTGAAACCTATCCAGAATGAGCCAGGAAAGGCAACCCAGGGGGCATCTTTGCAGCGAAGCAAGACAGTACACACACAAACACATCGCCCTGCGTCTCAGAACCCTGTCCTCCTCAAAGTCTGTCTTGGTCGCTCTGCATGTGGCATCAGGTGGCAGGCTGCCAGCACACCCACCTCGCTGCAGCTGGGGTGCAGAATGAATCTGGCTTGCTGCCTGCAGGAGACAGCTGTTCTTGGGAGATCTTAGAGTTGGATCATTCAAGATCAACCCCCTCCTCCAGAAGTGGGCCATGGCTGTGTTGGGTATCGGGAGGGAACATTGCACTGGGCAAGTGTGGGGGGCACCCTGAGAGTTTCCCTATAAGGTTTTTATGGTTCCTGGGGGAGAAGAACAGGAAGCCACTGTGACAGGCCAGGCCACACCCTTTACCATCAATCACCACTGCTGTCAACAGGCCCTTCTTGCTGGTCAGTCTGTCGTGAGCCTGGCACTGCTGGTCCCGGAAGCTGGGCAGACCCTTGGGGCAGGGAAGGTTCTCGCAGACTGCGTGCTCCACACTGGCGCCCAAGCAGTGTGTGCCGCCGGGCCCAGGCCTAGGAGGAGAGAGAAGATCTGCATTAACCAGGTGGTCGGGCAAAAACAGCAAGGCACTCTGCTGTCCCTCGTGCCACGAGGCTGTGGGGGTGGGGCAAGCTCCTGACCACCCTGTGCCCTCATGGACCACATCTGTGGGATCCTAGACCCATACTGAAGGCATGCCGTCATGACTTGGCAGAAAGACGCAGCCCGGGACTGTAAATCAAGGTCATATGGAAACGGCACAGGCAGTTATCAGGGGAGAAAAAAATGCACAAGTTGTTTCTGGAACCTAAAAGTCAGCTCTTTGTAACTCTGAAAGCCCTAAGGGAATTTTTAATGATTTTAAAACCATATTTCATTTCCCTAAAATGAAGACCTTTAAGTGGCCTACAGGTATAGCCTGGAGATGGACAAGTTTTAGGATGAATAAATGAATGCTCTCATTTAGAATGAAACAAACCCAAGGGACTAATTTGCTGGATCATACACGGGCTCACTGAGCTGGAGCGTCCTGGCTGGGGGGTGGGTCTCCCAGGGCCAGTGAGAGGTCAAGGTGGCAGTCCTAAAGCCTGGGAACTCTGTGTCCAAACTACGGTTTTCAGCAGCTCTAGAAAGCAGGCTGTGTTCCTGACCAAGTCCCCACCTATGAGGGTCACGGGCAGAGCAGCGGGAGGCAGCACTGGCTGCTACCATGTGGCTCTGCCCAGCTCTGCCGAACACTCTGGGCCAACCTTGGAGAACGGTGACCTGGACTGCCCCAGTGGGTCACTTCACCTCTGTCGTGCCAGGAGCACAGTGATGGAGTAAGAGGCTTTGTGTTTGCCCTCTGTGCTTTTTACTGAAATTCAGCATAAGAAAAAAAAAAAAAAAAAATGGAGGCAACTGAAAGCACATAAGATCCAAAAGGTACAGTAGATTTTTTTTTTTTTTTTTTTTTTTTAGTACCAGGGATTGAACTCAGAACCTTGCACTTGCCAGGCAAGCGCTTATTCTACTGAGCCATCTCCCCAACCCAGGTACAATAGATATTGTGAAAGGGAAAGAAACTCCTCAAAAAGAGAAAACAAATGGGATGGGGGAAAGGAGAAAAGAAGAAAGAAAAAAATATATATATGCACAAACACACAAGATAGCTAAGGTAATTGTACCACCAGTTTCCATGAGCTCACTGGAAGGAAGGAGCAGTTAGTGCTTATACTGTTTGGTCGGTTTATACGCCTATCTCTGCTAATCTGAGACACTACTTTGAAGATACAATATGCAGTATAACAATCATTTTTAATCTCCTGTCATCTTGTTTTGAAATTCTATATCATTTTTATAAATTCTTTTTAAGGAAAAAAATGGGTTTAACTCATAATTACTCCATGAATTTTTACTAACTGTATCAGCCGGCAGCGCAGTATTTTGGAGACGCTTGCCCATTCTTGGGGGTCTTTTTCTCCCTTTGCCATTTCTTGTGCTTAAATAGCAAGGACACCCTGTAATCACAGCTTTGGGGGGAAACAACCGATGGAGGGGACAGAAGTCTGCAAGCTTTTATGTCTACAACACAGGTCAGTGAAGCTTTTTAGGTAAAGGGTGAGAGAGGATAGTTGTAGTTTTGTGGGACATACAGTCCAGCGACAGAACCACTCAACTGACTCGGCCTCTGTAGCGTGAGGACGCTCAGAGGCAGCTGTGAAAGAGTGAGCATGGCTGTGTACCAATAAAACTTTATTTATAAAACCAGGCGGCAAGCCAGATTTGGACTACAGACCAGTTTGCCAGCTCCTGACCTAGATGTCTTGGAGAAAATGTCTCAGGTAGAAGGAAGGGTATATCTCTCTCCAACTCTTAGGGACAATTCCACCCCCAAGGGAATGGGAGAAGCCTAGGGAGATCATAAACACTTGTGGCCATGGCAGAGTCCTGAGGACTCCCGTGCCATAAAGTAGTAGGAAGGTTTACACAACATCTGGCCCAAAGAGCTGCGAGGACCAGGAGGAGAGACATCCCCATGACAAGAGGTAAGTTCCATTACTAGGGACCATTGCAGATAGCATATAGTTATATGTTAAAATCGTAACGCTGGGTGCCTCAGAATGTAACTTTATAGGACCACTGAGGATGCAAATGTGAAGTCACAGAGGGGTGGGTGACCTCCTGATCCACTGTGACTAGTGTTCTTATAGTAAGGAGACACACACACGGGCACACTACGAGAAGATCAAAGCAGAGATGTTGATGCTTCTACACGGTAAGGAACACTAGAAATTGTCAGTAAAAATACCGTAAGCGGGAGAGAGGTGTGGACCACCTGTGCTGCGGCTCAGGTGGAGGCAGCGCCTCTCCTGCTGACTCCTAGCCTCCTGCGCTGTGAGAAACCAAATTGCTGCTGTTTAAGCCACCAGCCTATGCTACTTCATCATGGTAGTCCCAGCAAAATGACTGAGCAGACATCTCAGGGAACAGATGAAGCTTTATAGAGCTCAGACTTAGGGAAAGTGGATCAGAGCCTGAAGGGATGAGGCGCCCCGAATGGACTGGAAACAGTGCTCAGAAGGACACATTAGCTTGGTTTCTAGAATAAAGGAAGCTGTACCTACTTAAGGTGTGGATGGTAAATTGGAGACGGCATGCAGCTAACTTCCTGAGTTGTCTCTGAGCTTCATTTCACCTTCAGCTTTATCCATTTCTACCAACTAACTCTCCAGATTTCTGTCTGATGAGCCCATCTACACCAAGCACCTTCATGCCAGCCAGTGGTGGTGATGGGGAGACTAGGTGTGGGACAAGAGAACCGTCAGAGCCAGAATAATGTAGGACTGGAAGGTGGCAGCCACAGGACACCAGGCCACTAGTGTGCCTTTCTCTCCATCCCCGGCTGACACTGTTTCTTCCTCCGCCCAGCGTCTCCCATGGTGGGCCTCCTCCAGCCTCCTGTCTGGTGCACTGCTTCACCACCCTCACTCCCACTCCTAACCCACTCCTAACCCTCTGTCCACTCTTGCCACCTCTGTTCACCTTCTTCTCCACTTGGAGTCTCTCCTCATCTTGCTCAGGTCTGGCCTGAGCTGCTTCCCATCCACCTTGTGTGTTGGCCAGCTGGGTCCCTGCAGCTGATCCACAGCCTCCAGCAGCGAAGCCTGCACAGGAGCCTCTTCAATAGCCAATGAACTAAACTGCATCAGTAGCAGATATCATCATAAAACAACCAAGAACAGAAGTGACAACAGGGAAGGTGGCAGTGCAGGAAGTACCAGGAACCCAACTCTCTACCTAAACAACTGTACTGTCAAAAGCTATCTGAAGGAAAAGCATTGAAATTATAGAGTCCATTTGAAAGCTTGCAGGTTCTGAGGAGAAAGCTTCCTTAGTGAACTGCAGTTAATTTGGTTCAATTTCAGTCTTGGGTGGGGAGGCGGCTAGTATTCTCCTCCATCTCCTCCATCTTGGTAGGCAGCCACGATGCAGCTTGCAGGAGCCAGGGGCATAATAAGGACCTCATCCTCCAGATGTCTGGCTTTCATGTCCTGAGTGTTGATGGCTGCCCTTAACTGCTGGGGTGGTGGACACGGGTGCAAGCTTTACCAGGGGAAGCCGCTTTCACAGGTTTCAAGGAGTAAAGCTCCCGCCCGCTTTTCCCTCCTAGGGAATTTAAGGATTAAGATCAGCTATTAAAAGCAACTATGTCCAAGAGGAGTTTGAAGGCTAGACAGAGGATATGGCTATGAAAAGATCAAGGGTCAGAACAGACCTGAGGAGACTTTAAGCTTTCATTTATTTCAGGTCTACCCTCAGTATAGAGACACAAATGACCCAGAGCAATGGAAACAATGACACCAAATCCAGAGCAACCACGAAATAAGGTGTAAAGATCTAATTTTCAGCAAAACACCAAACAGCACAGAAAGCTGAAAATGAGAACTTATTCAAAGTTCTATGACACAAACTATGTCAGCAGACCTTGACCCTGAGGAAACACAAATGTTAGACTCCATAGACAAATGCCTTACTACAAAGATCTAAGGATGCTTAAGAGCTAAAGAAAGCCACAAAGAAGTTGATGAACAAAATGAGGATACTAACAAAAAGGGAGAAATTGCTAAACCAGTTGAGAAGTACAATAATCAGTTAATTTTTTAAATGTATTTAGTACAGGGTCTACAGGATCTCACTACACAGATTGGACTCATAGTGATCCTTCCTGTTTCTCAGCCTCCCAAGAGCTGGGATTACAGGCATGTGCCACCACACCCAGTCTCATCTGCCACCTCAGTGCTTCCCTGGGGTGGGGCTGGTACAGTAGACCGGGGATCAAAGCCCCAGGCCCTGCATTTGCCTAAGCAGGAGCTTTAATTCACTGAGCTATCTGGCTGGCCCACAATCAATTTCAAAGCAGATTTCAGCAGGCAGAAGAATCAGCAAAGTTGTATATAGAACAATTATAATGATTTTAAGTCTGAGGAGAAAAAAAAAAAAAGAAAAATGAGCATATGAGACCTGTGAAACACCATCAACAGACTGATGTATGTGTTACAGAAGTCTCAGAAGAGAAAGGATGAAATTAAGACATTCCCAGAAAAGCAGAACTTGAGCAAGTTTGTTGCCACAGACCTGGAGTAGGACCTTAGGGCATGGCAAGGAGGCTGGACATTAGGGTGTAGCCTGTCAATCAAGAAGAACTGTCCAATCACAGCCCAAAACTGACATCAGAAGAAGGATGTAAAAGCCAAGCAGCCATTGGCTTCACTGCCACTGTCTTTTTATTTTTATTTATTTATCGTTAAAAGAGAGCACAAAATAATGTTAAAACAAAAAATAAAAATGATACAGAATTTCACTTAATAAAGCAATATGAATTTCACAGTATTTGTTCTAATGCAGTGCTGTCTTCCAACCAGTTATTCATATTACCAGATATATGTATGCAAAATTGGAAGAAGATAAAGAAAGAAATGTATAAAAAATTAAGAAGAGAGAAAATACAAGCAATTGAAAAAAGGAGACAAAACAAATTAAGCACTATTTG